CCGCGTGGGTTTACTTTACTAGGTATTTCCAAATTTGATTGCGTTGCTGCTTATTCATGTTATTGACACTAGTTTTCGGCTTGATTTTCACACTTTCATGGCTAGAAAGCCTCATTTTTACCATTTGAGTTATTTTATTATATATTACACAGCGGGACCTTTTAAGGTCAAACACAATTGACCTGTATTATGTGCATATTTCTCAACGCCTTTTCCTCAAACTGTCACAATCTGAACATTTTCTAACACCTTTAAGTAACATTTTTTAACACTAGTCAAGGCAAAGATTTTCTAAGCAATATGTTCTGTGCGCCCCAGCTAGTCTAAACACGATATTCAGATTGCTATTGCGCTAGGAGAATAAGAATTAAACCGATTAATCCACCTTGTTCATTCATTTTAACATTCGACCACCCTCTGCTGTCGACTGGAATTGACGTCAGAACGCCTTCTGACTCGCATTGTTAATGTTATGTGATCAAACCTAGAACGCAGGTGAGCCGCGAAGTTCGGTTTGCGAACCTGATGGCACTTAGATGCAAATTTCAGTTGACGGCAGAGGGCAGTATTCATGACAGCCACCCCACTCGAGATGGATCAAAATGTCTTAATCAGCGCCTGTTAGATTTGTGTTTGGAGTTAGCGAGTGAATGTACGACTGTTGACTGCGAATATGTGTAAAAACAATCATCATGAAATTCAAAAGCCACATATGGACAAACATGTAGAAGGAGGGATTGTAGTGCACCATCCATGAGTAAAATGATGGCCCCGAAGATGTTTATAATTTCCTTACTAGGCCACGGGTGGCAGCAAAGCACTACTTGTGTCTAAATGAAACTCCTTCAACATGCTTGCAGTCGTTGACAGTTGACGCCGAGATACCAACAAATTACATCAAAGCAGTAAATGTTATTGCTTTGGCTTGAGCACAAAAACTGTCAAGGTGAGTTTTTCAGTAAATAACAGGAGATTGGTTGCCCTCATTAAATCTGTGAATGGCTAACCCCGAATAAATGGATGTTCACTGTCCTGTCAGTTTTTATTCAGTTACTCGTGTTGACTTTGGCCATATTGTATGGAGCAGCCAGGACTACAACATGAGTACGACATTGTTAATAAGTTCCACACTCGTACTCTTCCGGGTGGTATCAGAAAACAACACAGAGGAGCAGCAAAAAATACACTTGTGCATTTAATGCTTTTCTATGCTCACTGAACTGAAGTCTCACCAGAATTGCTGCTCTCAAGCAAGAAGCCGACATCTTATTCATCTTAACGCTTTTACATTGTCATCTTTTTGAAAATGATCCCAGAAGCATTTATCCAAGAGGGGTCTCAGGTTTTTTTTCCGGAGAGAACTCTTGGAGTGTACTCAGTTATACCGAGTAATGTACAAATGTACAGATAGCATACAGTACAGAACATTGTACATGTAGTGACATAATGCTCTTTATGAATGAGTCTGTTATCATGTACATTACACTTTTTGACCTCCATCCAAAGTATGGAGAGAGAGAGAGAGAGCGGAGAAAAAAAAGGCTTGCATGTTTGCCTTGACTCCATGGAGACATGACGAAGCCTATCATCCAGTGTTGTCTGCCATGTATTTATGAGTCCGGAGCTGGGGTTGCCATGGGAACTAGCATGAACCCTAAGGAGTAGCACCAGTGAATGTACAGTAGCTTGACCGTGAGAAATGCTTCTGCTGACTTTTCCACTCACGCACAGGAACAATGGGATCTGTTGAACCGAGCTCGTCATGCCTGCAAGAGATTCCACTTTTATGTGTTTGGAGATTGAGTCGCCAGGCCAGCCAGCTACAGGAGCACCTAAGAGAAGGTTGATTAGATGTAGTGAAAGACATGAGAGCAGTTGACTTTGGAGAGGAAGAAGCAGAAGAAAGACTTGCCGTAATTTCCGGACTATAGAGCGCACCTTATTATAAGCCGCACCCAGTACATTTTTAAAGAAAAAACATTTTGTACACACATAAGCCTCACTTGTCTATAAGGCGCAGGTGCCCATATTGTAACATGAGATATTTGCAAAGAAAGAGGTTTCAACGTTTAATAACATACCTCAACTTTTCTTTGCCTGTAACGCGGCACCATGGCGGCAGTAAAACAGCTGATTCTCAGACGGGTGGTTTTAAAAAAAAAAAAAAAAAGAAAAGGGCGCTGTTACCTGCTGTAACACTTGGTCAACCATTCCTTCATTAGGCTTTTTACCATTCACGACAATGTCTTTTGGGAGGGTTTTCTTTTGGCATATATAAGCAGGTGAACATTACTAAGACTGTTATTGTGAACGCTGCCTCGTTTGATAAATGGAAAATTGTAACTTTAAAAGGAGTGTTGGATAATCTCGTGGCAAATCTCGTGAGACTCGGACCAGGAAGTGAAGTGAGACGAACGCTGAGCTGTGCTTATTCAGTACCTGATGTATCTGCAATCGGCATCGTAACCCGGCTGATAGGAAGAGTAAAATATCGTCGTTTGGGAGTTTGAACGGTGTCGCAGAGTGGGTCGTGTGAACAGCTGTGAAGCAAGGAAGATTAGTTGTTTTCCCACATGTTTCGGGCACATACAACATGCCGGAAAGTGCACACCAGTCACTCCTGTAGTCTATTTTGTATACTTTTCTATTTGTTAGTCCCATTTGACATATCGCAGTCTTTTATTAATGCTGTACATTTTCTATGTTCAGTCGGAAATAAAGCCTTAGACCTGTGTTATTAGGCACCACGTCCATTTTGGAGAAAATGTAATACTTTTAAGTGCACCTAAGGGTCGTGAAAATACGGTAGCTGAAGGCTCTTCTGTGGATAGATGATGATACGCATTACTCTTCACCCGCCTACTGGTTTGGTTCAGCAGGGTCAAAAGTAGTCTTAAAATAGTCGCACATACGTACACAGAGCCGCAAACACAGGTGATCTCACTTTTGTTTTAGACCATGTGAGAGCCCAAACAAATATTGATTGTTACTCTCATCGTTATCGACACACATGCTCTTACAAGGCAAACCCACTTTGGCTGACCTACTTATCTGCACTTTTCTGCGGTAAATTGAACTGAGAACTTAATATGCTATGTATGGATGGAGCCTTTGTTTGGAAGCCATTTCGCGTGCACACACACAGACACATGAGATAATCATTTTATATTCAACTTCAACTAACCTTGAATCCCTCTTACAAAGTCTGTAAAAGCAAAAAATGCTTACGCCCTATCTGTTGGTGTTTCGTATAAACGGCGTCGCCGCAGAATCGGGGCAAAGAGTCAACACGGCAAGTTGTCGTATCAGAGCCTAAACAGAGGCTGGACCATGCCTGAATGAAAGAGAATGCCAGGAAGGCAAAGTTATAAGTGACAAGTTCACACTCACTTTCCCTGTTATGTTGAACGCAATCGTCACTGTCAGCATTTTGACAACTGTTTTTTTTTTTTTTTGTTTTTGTTTTGTTTTGTTTTTTTTTTTTGGTCATGCACTGTTAGCGTCTAATTAGCTGATTGTGGGATGCGATGTCTCTGCCTTGTCCCTGCGTTAATAGATTACTAAGTAGTAGGGCTGAAAAACGATTAATCAACCAGCTCGCATAATTTTGATTACATAAGTTGAAGCAAAATCTCTGCTTGACAGTTCTCATTTTACCACACTGACTGTTGACTGCAGGCTGACGATACACTCCGTGTGGAAACTACGTTTTCTTGATGGCAGTGAGCCAGGACTAAAAAGTCAGTGATATACAGAGAATGTCCAGTTTGGGATCCTGTCACACTATAATGAGCCTACTGCAAACCCCAACTTACGTACCGCAACAGCATGTCTACGATCACAAAGTTAAGGTGTCAGTGTTCGATGGTTTAATATAGCCTCCCTGCTCTAGTCAGACTGTATTACAATGCCCCCACAAGTGGTCAGAGATAGACACAGTCACCGGTGCACTCAGTTACTTTCTTGAACCAACGGTAACAAAATTAACACGTCATAAACATATTCCTCCATGAGCTCCTATGGCTACATCTCATGCAGGCACTCAACAGCATGCAGACTGGCTAACAGTTAGCCACTTAACAGCCAGTCACGAAACCCGAGCTCACAACAGCCAAATCAACTCTGTCGTGCACTGATGCCGCCCATATCACTCACCAGGCCAGGCCCCACCGCTTTCAGCAAGTGGGATAATCTATCGAACAATTGATTTTAAAAATGTATTTCATATTGCAAGTTCAATTTACATCCAATAAATTGGTGGTATAATCGGTAGAGTATTTGACTCTAAAAATATTACATAGCTGCAGCCCTGGTTTTAATGAAACAAGACAGACTTGACTCCTTTTTGTAGTTTTTTTTTTCTTGACTTTTTTACATACTTTACTTTTCAGCCAATGTCTGACCATAAATGTGATTAAATTACCCACTCCACTAGATTTCACCGCTTAAATCGAAATACAATCCTCAATGGAATTGTGTTGTTTTACTTTGCTACAAATGCTATCTAATACAGCTGTCATATTTTATTGGTACTTTTGCTTCAGCAGCTCTCCACACACAAATAACAGTGTACACGCTGGCAGTATTTATTTATTTTTTAAAGTCTGTTACACAGACAGTTTGGCATGGAGGGCTTGGACTGATGCCCGAGGGCGTGATGGTGCAAATTCCTTCACAGTCGTGTGTACCAGCGCCAGGATGGAGGTTGGCCACTGAGGTCATCCTGTCGCTAAGTACGGCAGCGTTTTAACCGCACAAATTCAGATGGCATCAAAAGAAGAGCAGCTGTCTGACTCGCAGGGTCGGCTTACTTCGCACAGCTCTTTATGGACTCAATTTTGTACTTGAGTTTGCGCTCCTTGACAGAAATGTCATCGTGTATTGACATGGGGTGGTGTGTTATTTTCCCCTCATACTTCCCAACAGGAGCAGGAAAGTGTTTCACGGAGCCCCGCTTATGGTCCTCGTTTCAGTTGTGATCCTCTTATTTCTTCCATCAGGTACCGGTGAGAGCGGCAAGAGCACTTTTATCAAGCAAATGCGAATTATTCACGGCTCGGGCTACACCGATGAGGACAAGAAGGGCTTCACCAAACTGGTCTACCAGAACATCTTCACGTCCATGCAGTCCATGATCCGGGCCACCGAAACCCTGAAGATACCATACAAGTTCGAACAGAACAAAGTACGTCCTGTTGAAAAGTCCCACTTTTAACTCGTTTGAAATTGATGCTGTTCAATTACAAACTCAAATCAGTTCTATTACGGACACAAAAAAAATAATAAAAACAAACAAAATATTTTAAGAATTATGTCCGAATCTTACGAGGAAAGTTTTTTTTTTTTTTTAAACTTATGAGAGTTTTATTTTCTCAAAGAAAAAGGGTGTGCAATGCAATAATATAAATGTCATCAAGTTATACTTAAGTATGTGTTTAAAAAAATAATGACATACATCAGCATAAGGTAATTATCAATGTTACTACTTTGAAATGTTTATGCACACATTTTGTCTGTTCTGGAGCAAAACAAAAAACATGAACATGTTCTAATACAGTTTTTACCCCGCAAAAACACAACTATTCTCATAATGGAATTTGAAAATAATTCTAGCATGAACAATTAATTTTTTTCAGCCTGGCCCACTTAACTCCTTCACTCCTTCGAAGTCCACAATGAGTAGTTATGATTCTGAACAGAATGCAGTTCTACATATTTACTTATTGTTGTCTTAACATGATGTTTAAAATAAATAATGAAAACACGCTAAGCATCAATCAAATATTTACACATTCATGTAGTTTGCATTGTGACTAACAGTTACTTAGTTTTAATAAACAAAGAGCTGCCAACTTTGGATATTTAATGTAATGTTGACGATCGACCAAAACCAAAGGCCTTTTCTCCGAGCGTTGTATTAGCATGACCCCTTTTTGCCTCTCAGAACAATGCGCAGCTGGTGCGCGAAGTGGACGTGGAGATGGTGACGTCGTTCGATCAGCCGTACATCGGCGCCATCAAGATGCTGTGGGCTGACCCTGGCATCCAGGAGGCCTATGACCGCAGGAGAGAGTACCAGCTCTCGGACTCCACCAAATAGTACGTCTGTCTCTTTTCTCTTTTCTCTTTTCAAGTGTACTTCAGAAACGCGCACGCGTCCAATGCTTAAAGGCGAACTAAACCCAAATGGTTTTATTTTGAAAGAATAATTTTTACATGCCAGTTCTAGTCAAAAACAAGGTACTCTGATTAATATAGCAATTGTGGACGAAGAATTCAATGGGTAATGCGCCATTTTGGCACTAGAATGTTTGGATACAAACCTGAACCATTCAAGAGCAGTGGTTGCTCGCCATCGTTGGCCGCCGTAAACTGGCTTGATAATTCGATGTGACCGATGTCGTTGCTGAATATTTACACCATATCTGTCTCGCGGTGTTGGTAAATAAAATGGTCAGAAAGGCCTTTTTAGTTGCATTAATTTTGCAGTATTTTTTAAAATATTTATTTGTTTTGTGTATATATTTTAATTGATGTATCTCATTAAATAGGTGGTTCATGTGTTTTTGTAAAGAATAAAACAAACATTTTATTTAATGTAATAATTATCATTAGAACTATTAAAATTAAAAAAAAAGATATCAGAATGAATTTGTTAAAATTGTGTGGCGAATGAACACTAAAGTTTGCCCACCCATGTTTTGGATTGTTGCATGACACTCACCAGCCACATTATGTACACCTGTGGAATCTATTGAGATTTTTACACAGAATTTGAAATTTGCATGAGGGAGACAAGATATTCGAAACAGCTGACTGTGTGATGCGGTGCAAAGTGACACCACATTCATGAACATACAGCGTGTCCCAAAATTCCAGAAGTATCAATTGAACAGATGTTAGTTAGGCCGTCAGTATTTGACAGCTTAGGCTTTGCAGTTTTTATCTGCATATCCTTCCCTTGCCCACGGCTCACCAGCGGACAATGGGGCAGTGTTGCAAAATCGCCAGCTGGAAAAGTTTTTCTGTCCTCGATTATATCTGTCATTACGCAATAGTAGGAGACATTAAAGTAAGAGCTGTTGTTCACAAACGCTGCCTATCCATAATTATTGGGTGGAGAAAAAAAAATTGCCTGTTATCCATCTACCGATGAGCTGCAGTCATGGACAGAAAAACGTACTAGGTGGGAATTGTGCAACAGGGGTAAGGGCTTCCAAATATTGAGGTTGAAACTGTCAAATGCTGATGGCATCTGTCCGAGTGATACTACAAACCAAATCAAAAATAAAAAATGTCAATAGTTACATTGGAGGTGTACCTGATGTCGTGTGTGGCGAGTCCGTATCCATGATGTGTGCCTCCTTGTCATATGTCCCTCCTCCCCCCAATTCACAGTTACCTTAGCGATTTAGAAAGAATAGCGACGTCGGGGTACGTGCCCACTCAGCAGGATGTGCTGCGGGTTCGAGTGCCAACCACCGGCATCATTGAGTACCCGTTTGACCTGGAGAATATAATCTTCAGGTACTGGTGGCCCCGAGCGCCGCCCATGACGTCTCTGGTTGGCCCGGTCGTGAACCGCCGACGCCGCTATCGCCATGAGCTAGCTTCAGGCTGCACGTAAACGCATCCCTGATGGTGACCTCCCAAAAGACTAGAGTCCAGGCCTACAGTGCATGTCAGGAGGTTGGCATGTGGTGTAGCCAATTGCTCATGTTCGAGTCAAGCTTTTTCAAAGAGTGAAATTCTGTCTTTGGGAGCTGCCATCACGGATGAAGCTAAAATTCTTTTGGTGGTTCTGGCACAAAATTTCATCTAATCCCCTTGTGGTGCTCGGGAATGTTTCCTTTGGTTACATCTGAACTGATCCACTTGCTTTTTGGAGGGTTTGTGTGCTATCTGCTCTTATGCTTCCCTTTCTCTTTCCTCTCTCTCTCTGTCGTTTCTTTCGCTCTCCATCCTGTCTCCAGCTATCTTAGCGATCTGGATCGTATCGCTGAATCTTCCTATCTACCCACCCAACAGGATGTGCTTAGGGTTCGAATCCCAACCACTGGGATTATAGAATACCCTTTCGACTTGCAAAGCATCATTTTCAGGTAGACCAAAGAATTGCACCGCTTTGACTAACTCCAGCCCGCCCATGTTTGCATTTGATGAACAAACGGCATGCCGTTGATAACACCGAGAGCATGTCTAACGTCCCTCCTATGAGCCCATTGCACTTCTCGATGCATCCTGATCCTTTGATTTACGAGTTTAATTCTTTTCTGGACAGAGCTAATATTTTGATATATAAGCTCTTCTGAAATGATATTTTTATGAAATTATCTGCTATTATGCTTATGTGCTTGATATTGTAAGGCATAAATGTCAATGTTTTTTTTCTGGTCGTCCGTGGCTTATTGCAAAGATTTTTGATGACAACTTTTGTGTTAAAATAATATTGGTATATAATAATTATAATTCAGACTTTAAAAGCTCTGGGATCTTCATTTGTGCAATTTTCTGTGCTGTCAGTTAAAAATAATGATATGACTGATTGTTCAAAAAAGTAATGGGTAGATAAATTGATTATTGGTTGCAGGCGTGTGTGTATGTGTGCGTGCGCATCTCTCCACAAAATATGGTTTGATACAGTTTCTGATACGTGGGGTGTGAAACGATTAAAGGATGGGTAGATTTTGGTGGACCAATAGGGCATGATGCAATTATTTTTTTGTCATTCTACATATATTTGAATGTGCTTGTCATTAAATGTGCCATAGATATATCTATTTATGTCTCTGTATGGCTACATAAAATAAATATATATGTGCACACATGTACAGTGATCCCTCGCTACTTTGCGGTTGGTTTATCGCGGCTTCAGTGCATCGCGGATTTTTTCAAACATCAAACTTTTTCTTTTTTTTTTTAAATATACTTGAGTACAGTATTGTATATGTTGCTCTATGTGACTCGCTGTTTTGCAGCTTATTGCGGACTTAAAAGAATTTTTTTTTTTTACCTGTCTATGTTAATTGGTCGCTACTTCGCGGATTTTCGTTTATCGCGGGTGGTTTTGGTCCCCATTAACCGCGATAAACGAGGGATTACTGTACTTTTTAAAATTCAATAACCGAAATCAAATTTCACCATCTTAAAATTCATTGAGCTGCAACTGGATTTATGTTCCCTCAATATTCGCAAGCTTGCCAAGAAAAGATTTTACACAACAGCCCATTTTTGTGCTTCTGCGCTCGACATCCTTTCAAGATTTGGCCCACTAACAGTCCAGCCGCCAATCCATAGAACAGCTTCCATTCCTTTCTCCTGCAAGACAAGAGAGAAGCTAGAAATGGATGTAGCGAACAAGCAAGAGTGATTACAGTAGAGTGCAAATCGATTGGAAGCCATCATGTCCGCCGCCTCCTACGCTTGGCAAGGCTGGAAATAACTGCAACGTGGTTGCACTCAAGAGCTTCCCGGGCCACTCCGCTGCAGCGAATCTGAGAGGCTTCGCTCGGCCCGGCTGCTGCTGCTGATGGTGACTCACTACACGCTCTCAATGGCTTTGCGTTTATTGAAGAGGCCAAAAATACAAACATGATTTGGGGAGGGACGACAAAGGTGTCGGGCTGTATTCACTGAAGCACATGGATTGTTTAGTTGCGTTAATATGGAGCATGTTACCCGCAATCCATGACAGTAACAAACACACATATGTGTGATACGCCAATGATGACCCCCCCCCACTCCCCCACCACAACCCCCACCCATCCAATGCTAACAAGGCAGCCTTTCATAAACATTCATACTTCCTGCTCTTTTTAATTGGCTTTGAAGATGTCATTTCTCTTGGCTCATCCAGCATAGGAGGGGAGTCTATCTTGTAAGTGGGTCACTCATTCTCGCTAGAGGATGAATAGGAGGGTGTCTGATGTGGAGTTATTTGAGCCAGCTTGTTGTGTTTGCCGCTCGTTATTGATTTCCCCTTTGTGATATCAAGGTTTTTTTTTTTTTCTTCTACCTGTTCAAGTGTTAAATGATGGGGAATCAAGTGAAATTCCCATCCATTTTCTATGGTGCTTGTGCTCGTTGCTCATAGATGAGCAGTAGTGTTGTGACCATTTGAGATCTACTTGCACAGTGAGATACCATCTGATAGGCTATGGAAGCCTTTTCTTGTAAGCAGTTTTTTTTTTTTCACCCTACCTCATAGCCCAGTCTTAACGAACATAGAGGACAACTAAGAACGTAGCCAGTACTTTGCGACTTACTGACTTTGAGCAGTCGGCGGGATACACCCTGCAGGGCACAACCATTCATAAATAGGCAGACAGACTTCATTTGTAAGAAAATGCTTCTGTTTTGCTACGCTTGCACTATAGCCCAGTTGTCAAAAAAATCCGGCACAGCAAGTTCTTGAGAGCAAAAATCTGACGTTCCTTTAAAGGTTAAAGGTTCTTGTCGGCCTCTTGAAAGCCACCACGACCACTTATCTGTCAATGGCTAACTACGATGTGGAGGATGATTTTCAAAAAGATTAAAATCCGAGCCAAATGGTTCTTTGCTGGAATGGCAGTCCACTTGTCAGATTTTTTTCCCCCTTCCTCATGCAACAGAGATGTCAAGCACTTCTCAGAAACATCCTATCTACTTACATACATATATACATACATACATACATACATACAGTCACAGGAAAAAAAAATATTTGACCATCATTGTTTTTGTGTTATGGTCATTTTTAATGCCTGGTCCAACTACAGGTACATCGCTTTGGAGGAATATAATGACAACAAAAATAGTCCATAATAGTTTCATTGAAGAGCTCATATCGAGCCATTTAATGTGGTTTTCTTGATAGGAAACAAAATTACTGGGAATACAATTCAGCTTAAGCATGCCAAGTAGGACATAAAGTATTATGAGATCAGTTATGTTTTGTCGTGGTTGTTATATTTTTCAGGCCATATACCTTTAGTGGTACCTGGCATGAAAACAAAGTGCTCATTTTTTTTCCTGTGTACATAGAACCGCAAAATATAAACATACACTGTCTCTGTAGATTTTTTTTTTTGCCTTGTTTTCTGTGCTATTAACATGGTAATCACCGACCACTTGATCCAAATCTTTGTTGAAAGATGGATGTCCTTTTGCACCTCTTCATTTACTGCATGCTAAGCGCATCCTTGTCTTGAATTGGAACGTATCTTTGGCTGGTGGCTCCGTTGCCACTTTTCCCTCAACATTTTCAGTCACTGCTATGTTTAAATTCAATTGATTCACTTCACGTGAGCTCTCAAGTTTCCTTTGATTGACACTTCATCAGTTTCATCAATGCATGCGCCTCTTCATGTCATTACTATTACGATATATCTACGGCGAAGCTTTCTTAATGTTCTTTTCTGTTGTGTTTGCTTCCCCGCGTCCCGTTTCAGGATGGTGGATGTCGGCGGCCAGCGGTCGGAGAGGAGGAAGTGGATCCACTGCTTCGAGAACGTCACCTCTATCATGTTTCTGGTGGCGCTCAGCGAGTACGATCAGGTGCTGGTGGAGTCGGACAACGAGGTGAGAGATGTCATACAGACGTCATGAGTTGAAGCAAATGTTTTGGAGAAGTATTGTCTTTCCTGGCAATTCCAATCTACTTTCGCAGTACGCGCAGTTGACCAAAGTGCTGTACACAGCGGTGAAATTAACACACACACCAAAGAGCAATATTTTCCTTGATATTTTTCCTTCACAACTCCATGAGTTAGTCTGATTATTATGATAATTTTTTTTTTTAAATAAATACATTGACATTGACACTTGACCGTTGTGGTGGCGGTGTTAAGGTGTTTCTGAGTGACTAAGCAGTGTTTTGGCATCAGAGTGTGCAGGGATTAAGCTGGCTGTGTTGACAGGTCTGAGACAAAAGCCTCCGACCTTGCACACCAGTCAAACCCTGGATGCTTTGCTTTCACATCCCTCCGATTTCGTCACATCACCGGCTCTCTTTTTGTATTTTATATTAGCACTCGCTACATTTCTTGTGTGTACAAGTATTTGAATTTTGAAAGTGCTTGTGTTGAATTGTGAGTATTCTTCGGCGGTGTTTGTCTTCAGCTGAGATACAAACATATTGATTTAGATTCTGAACTTTTTTTCCCCCCATTGATAAGGAAAAAAAATGGCAACTATTTTCTTACTTGTACTACTTATTGTGTGTACTCCAGATGACCAACGCAGCACACCACACACAGTAATTGTTGCGCTACCGAGATTGTCCTGTGAGAGGCAGCATGGTTCCTCGTGGTGTCCAGACCAGCAGAAAAAAAATAAACTGGTGTTGGTAGTAGTAGTAGTAGGAATAAAACTAGAAGAAACTACGCAAACTATTAGCTTCTCTTTTACCTCTTTTGAATGCAGCCACTTCCCCTTCTTCATAACATTGTGATAAATGACCTGCGCGACACATTATCTAAACAGTCAACAATTTGCGCCTCTCTTGGTGTTTGGTTAAAGCACCAACTTCAGCAAACTTTCCAATTGGATATCGTTGCCATTTCACGTCCCATTTGAAGATTTTGCTTGGCAAGGGGGCAATGCTTATATTTAATAGCATAATCAATGTGTATGCACCGTTTTAATTACACACATACCAAGATTTACTATCATAAATATTGAACAGATTTAACATTGACGACTGTCATCTCGAATCACTCGTAACACAACCCGAACCTCAGAATAATCTCTGAGTCATATGATAATCGGGCCTTTGACGACTTTGACCGTAAGAGCAAAAATGCTTAAATTTAACACAATAAATCGGCATGTGTGTACCCCACTTTGACTACACACCCATAAGGAGATGCTGTTGTCAATATTCAATGTTTATTTACTACTGTCAGCGCGGAATCACTCGTAACACACCCCACACCTCAGGATAATCGCTTAGGATAATCTTTAAGTGATAATAGTTGGACCGTGGCAGATTCTGATCAAAATTCCTCAAATTAGGTCCATGTGTGTTAATAACGTGTTGCTATTTTGGGTTCTAGTTAGTATTTTTGTCATCCTCTCACTCTCCTAACCTTTTGTGCATTTCCAGAACCGCATGGAGGAGAGCAAAGCGCTGTTCAGGACCATCATCACATATCCTTGGTTTCAAAACTCCTCCGTCATCCTCTTCCTCAACAAGAGGGACCTGCTGGAGGAGAAGATCATGTACTCTCACTTGGTGGACTACTTCCCGGAGTTTGACGGTACTGCTTTCTTCCTTTGAATTAAGTTACATTGGCTGTTTAGTTGGAGGTGTTGGGACATGCCAATTTCCTGATTGCGAGTATTTCCTTATTTATGCTTGTATGGACATTACAAACGCTTAAAGAATAGCAAAACATTTTGGTGACCTGTACAAAGATTACTTTTGGTCATATAGTGACACCGTGTGGCTAGAAGGGGGAACTACATTGAAATCTCCCCTGACTTCCACTAATTGGAGTATTTATTAGGTCCACAGTGAAATTAAATTTTCCAGAATTAAGTCATCCACGAATCCACAAAATAAGACATTACAGCAAACACAATCTGTTTTATTCCAGGGATGTTCATTGTTGCCATCGTTAAAAGTCCAAGATTTCTCAGCATACAGTTGTACTTTTTAAAATAATTTTTGATTGTATTTTTTTTTTAACATGCTGTGGCGTGATTTATTTGTTTGTTTGTTTATTTATTTTGCCAGGCCCTCAGCGTGACCCATTGGCAGGTCGTGAGTTCATCCTGAAAATGTTTGTGGACTTGAACCCGGACAGCGACAAGATCATCTACTCGCACTTCACCTGCGCCACCGACACGGAGAACATCCGCTTTGTCTTTGCTGCCGTCAAAGACACCATCCTGCAGCTCAACCTCAAAGAGTACAACCTGGTGTGAAGTGCTCTGTGACAGAGAGAGAGAGGAGAGAGAGCAAGCCACACACACACACACACACACACACACACACACACACACACACACACACACACACACACACAAAATTATCCACTTCTAGAACATACATGTCTGCATGGAACATAGTCATGCGCTTCGCTCCACACTCGCTATCTCTTTTTTTGGGTGTCTTGTGTTGCTCATCACAGTGTACACATCACGTGAGCCTTTCTATGGTGGGAATTCATGATTGAACCTACAGTACTATATTATCAGCAGTGCTTGTGTGTCACAGGGTGGCCCATGTCAAAGACTTTCCGGTTCAAAGGGCTTTCTCCCGACTTGTGTACACCGTGCATGCTGTACTCGACTACAGTGTGCTCATATTAAAGAATATATCAGTTGGTGTTTTTAAAAAAAAAAAAGGAATGCCCTCCAATCCAGAGCGCACCTGCTCTGTCGAATGTAAATAGTTTTGCTTACACATAGATGACTTATCTACTTTTTGCCTACTTTGTAATTACAGTGGCTACACTCAAAAGGATTGTAACCCCCTCACACACACTGCCCTCTTGGCGTTTCAAGTGTTAATACCCCTTTAAGACAGCACTACCACTACATTTACTGCGAATCGCTCCACAGTTGCGTTGCCAAATTGACTCCACATTTCTGGTTTGTTTTTTGTAAATAGAAATACTGTACAGTATGTTGCCAGTATTCCCTTAGTGCAGGAGTGGGAGTCGGTCTGCCATGCAGTTCTCTGCCTCTTGAGACGTGTTAAATTTATGAGGCGCGCCGGCGAGAGCAGGGGAGTTGTCTCTTCTATTTCCGTAAGTAGTGCTTTCCTATGAATCTCGAGTTTATTAGAGTCCTGCGACCACATGATGCAAACTCAAATTCGAAATTTAATTTTGTCGATCTATCGAGTGCGGCGTTTCCCAACCTTTGTTGTACATTAGAAAAACGTCTGATGGCATACCACCAAAGAAAAAATGTCATAGCAAGTACAGATACTGATTAGATGAGCACAACGCTTTTATTCCGTTGCATAAAAGGCAAAATGTGGATACACAGGTTAATTGTATTTTCTGTCATCTAGTGGTAAAGCATTACATTATTGTGCCTGTCACTATACGTCACCGACATAAATGGATGAATAACAATATATGATTTGTAGAATACAAATAGTGTTAAAAACATTCATGGAATTGGCACAGTGTTTGGTATTTACTGGTCTAGTATACGTGGTTAAAATCTAGGAGGAGTTTGTTTAAGGACTTCCTGGAAAAAAGCAAAATAATTTTAAAATGCCCACTTTAAACAAAAATAGCATAGACTTACAATTTCTTGAATCACAAGCACTCCACTAATGATTAGGTATAAATTCTTGACACTCGTCATAAACGTGCCTACCAAATGTGCATTTTCACCAAGATCAAAGGAAAAGTTTAAGATTTCACATTAACTTTTTTTTTTTTTTTTTTTTTTTTTTTTTTTATTAAGGTGGGCAAGCCCTAGCAATTTGTTTGAATTAGTAATTAAGAATCCAACCGAAAGTGGTCCTTTTCCTCCATGTATTTAAATACTTGAGACCAATTGTTATTTTTAAAAAATGCTTTAATAATTTAATATTGCTTTTACAAACCTTTTCAGGTTTTAATTACTCGTAAATATTTTCTATTCACGGCCAGGGTCGGTCCCGATCCTCCATGAATACTGGGGTTCACCGTACTGCCATATCAATCTGTTTATGGCATAACAATCCTCTCCTTTAAAGGGGAAGTCAAGTCAAAAATTGTCTTTACAATAATATATCCACCCGTTTTATTCATCTCGGCGGGGAGGGGTGCCACTTTCTCTTGTACTGCCATTTGCCGCCGGCTGAAAATGACATCACTTTGCCTCAGGGCTTAGCTTGCGCACGCTCACCTGTTTTCTGGGGTTGGTCACATGGTGTTAGCAAGCTGAGCCCTTAGGCACTGTGATGTCATTTTCAGTCGACAGAAAGTGGCAGTACAAGACAAAATGGCAGCGCGCCCCCCCCGCCCCCCCCCCCTCGAGTTGGCTAAAAATCAATAGATATATCTGTTTAATTCATATTCCCCAAACACAGTATTAAGCAGAAGACCCTGTTTAGACTGGTCTGGGTGCATAGAACATACTTTGAATACATCATTATTTTGATAGCGCTTTCACAACAGCCGCACCTGTAACAACGATTGATGATGATTTTTGATGCGATTTCCCTTTTAACTTGTGATTTCTTTCGTTCTTCTAATGGTGGAAGCGACATCCCTAATCACACCGTTTCATTTCAATACATTCATTATTATTAGTAGTAGTAGTTGTGCAGCCAATTTTGCTTCTCATTCAACTGCATTGCTTCAGCTTTTTTTCGGTGTTTAACTGGCACATTTGATCAATGACTTGAAAAGTGGTTGATTGATTTTGTTTTTCTTTTTCTCCTCTGTATGGGATCTTCTCGGTGTCGAGCTCCAACGAGGAGACTGTGGCTTTTATACTGCTGTAAGATACCCAAGCTATTTTACCGGCGAAGATGTGTTTTATCTTTCGAACATTCAAGCAGTCTGTTTTTGAAAATTCTCACGCTTTATGCAAAAATCAGAAAAAGACAAAAAAAAAAAATTTAACTCAAAAACACATCTAGTGGTTGAATATTTACTGTCGGCGCATTCTTGAATTTTTTTAATTTTAAAACAGAATATGTTGACTGTTGGTACCAATCCCATATCGTGTCTCTCGATGTTTTTACTCTTTCTCTAGAGCGGGGTTCCCCAAACTGATTCTGGGGTCAGATATTTTCTCGGCAAAGGGCTTTTTGATTCTTTGTAATGAGTTCCTGCTCTGGTTCCGTGTACAGTATGTGGCAGTGATGTATTTTGGTGAGCGGGCTGGGGGAAGAAGCGCCTTTCAATTTGGCCACTTGAGTTGATCCAGTTGAGGAAACCCTGCTCTATAGCTCTTCAGAAGATGTAATTCAGGTGTGTTGTCATCACCTTGTTATGACAAGGGCTACTATTTGCAGCTTTGGTAGGTAACAGTGCTGTGTGATTGAGGTGGGGGAGATTGTGGGTGCGGGGGTGGGGGGCATCTAAACCACAGATGCCTATATGTAACATTCCAGGTGGCTTTTTGTTTTCGTCACATTTTGCCTTTTTACAAGACAAAAAGCAAGCATCTCGACTCGATTCCCTTTACCTCTTCACTTGTTCGCTTTGCTGACATTTCAACGCCCTCGCAGTGTTTTTTTTTTTTTTGCTAAAGGCTTCTGCTTTAAAAGGGCCCCATTTGTCTAATAATGCAGACGTCTTCATATTAAAGTCAAAAAGCCGGCCAAGGTGTCTCTCGTTGTGCATCGCAATGGTTCCCCAACCTTTTATTGAGCCAAGGCGTATTTTATTGTACATTAAAAGTCCCGGCGCTCCACAAAAAAATGTCTCAAAAATGATATACTGGAACTGTGAATTGTTGTGCTTGTCACGTAGCTGCAATCGATTTGATTTGTAGGACAAAACCAATTTCAGCGAAGTTGGGACGTTGTGTTAAATAAAAACAGAATACAGTGCTTTGCAGCTCATGTTCAAATCATATTGAATTGAATATAAAGACAAAATACTTAATATTTAAAATAAGTAATCAAACTGAAACTTGGTTTTAAGCAAACAATCATGAGCTTAGAATTTTATGGCTGCAACATGTCCCAAAAAACCTGGGACAGGTCATGTTTACCGCTGTGTTCCATCACCTTTTCTTCTAACAATATTCAATAAACTTTTGGGAACTGAGGACACGAATTGTTGGAGGCTTTGTGGGTGGAATTCTTTCCCATTCTTGCTACAGCTTCATTTGTTCAACAGTCCGGGTCTCCGTTGTCATATTTTACGCTTCATAATGCGTCACACATTTTTTCAGTTTGAACATTTAAAAAAAAAGTCTTGTAAATGTAGTGTATTCAGTTAAATATAGGTTGAGCATGATAGGCAAATCATTGTATTCTGTTTTTATGTTTAGCACAATGTACCAACTTCATTTGAATTGGGTTGGTAAACCAATTATTTTGGGACCAATTAAGTGGAATTGCTTAAATTCTTGCAGAGCAACGGTTGGGAATCACTGATGTAGTTAGTAGTGTGTATTGCACTTAAATATTTCAAAGCACCTGCAATACAGTTCCGATCCTGAACTGGAAGGACTCGGAAAATATTTCTTCAGTTTACATTGAAACAAAGCAGTGTTTAGCAACCGAAGCCATGTTGAAATGAGAAAAGTCTCACGACGCACCACCAAATATAACGTCACAGAAAGTACAGAAATTAGGGTCTTGTCTCAATTTACTCACAAATTTGATTAATATGAAATGTGGACCCGTTTCGTAGAACATGAAGCTATTCTGTTGTATGAATAGCCACAGATGGATGAGCATTTCATTTTTCGGTTTGTGAATAGGTCAATGCCATCAATCGACAATCTTTTTTTTTTTTTTAACCATTTAAGTAAAATTGAATCATTTTTCTGTGGAACACTATCAATTTTTATGACACATTAAAAAAAAAGTACTTAATAAATTTCACATACTGCCAAAAGCATCTCACTGGCCAGAGTTTGAGCTGCATTGTGCTTGTTTACAGAGTACACTTTATTTCCCTGACCCACTTCGATATTGGTGGTAGGCCCGTGTACTGTACCCGATGTCAGTAAATACGAACGCACCGTACAGTGAACACGCTTAGTAGTTATTCCAGTTTATACATATCATCGTTGATACATTCAAAGAATCTAGCCTGTTGCTAACCTAAAAGAGCAGCCCCTATCGAGTCACTCAAACAGCCTCAGAAATGATTTAAACATGTTGACTTTTAGATTGCAGAGATGGTGCCAAGCAAAACGTACTGCAGTAGTGTGTATTTTCATGCAAACCTTGTTCTGGCCCAGGGTAGGGAAATGGCCATTGATTTCTTGAAATGAATGAATTTGCTGTCGCCCCTTGCTTGATTGGAGTATGTCATCTCCATGGGTCAGCGCACTGAAGTGACTCGATACTCAACCCAACCCTCCAAAAATACTTTTTGCTTTGCTTTAGCTCCCAACGGTCATTTTGAGCTCCGTTGTTTTATGTAAAGCAGACACACTTTACCACCTGTATATTTTGCAACCACTTAAGATGTTTTGTTTTTCAATAACTTTGTGTAGTGGTGTACAAATTGAAAGTAATGTATTTTTTTTAAGTATACCAAATGTAAATTTTGTACCATGAGTGTGCCAATCCCCTTACTTTGTAAAGCCAGACTCTTGACTTAATACTTAAGTGCCAATGTTGTGAGCGAGGGGCGGGCGGGGGGAATCAGGGCCTGTGAATTTTCATGGTCCACTTTTTAAAAAGAAATAAACACAAAATATGTGATTAACAATTTTATTCTTTATTTAATGATGATTGAACTGCTGTTTTTAACTGCATGTGTTGGGCAGGGAGGGTGACGTGGTCATGCCAGCTATGCTATCACGGAAAGGGTTGTGCTTATTGTTCACTTGTTGATTTACAGTATTTTAGCCATATTTCCCTTTTTTTTAATGTTTCATTTCAACCACTGTTGCCTGAACCTCATCTAAACATAAAAACAACTTTCATAGCCTTCTCCTTTTCAATGTTTTCAATTGGAATAAAAAAATATTCCTATACTTGCCTACATGGATTTTTTTACTTTCTTTTCACTGTTTTCGCGTGCACCCTCCGATTGCATTGATATGACTCTTCAGTACTTACAACAGACAATAATTGTATTTTTTTTAACTTTCAGAGGTATTGCTAAATATTACAGTGCTGACAAATTTTTTGAAATTCCAAGGCTAAAAATAGGCTGTTTCCCCATCTCAGTTTGCAAGTCAAAATTCACAAATATGCATTTTCACGGCGTATCCACATAGTGGCGCCATTTGCTCAGACACCCGCAAATAAGCGTCTTGCTGGTGTAGAGCTTTCTCATCTAGATCGATGCTTTTCTGCTCTGCGCTTCTCTTCCCGGCCAATCTACCTAGTGTAGTTCTATGCGGGGCGTGCACAAGCAGAGCTGCTCGTCCTTGTACACAGAAGACAGACTCACAAGACTTGACTTAACAGCCACAGCAAGGAGAGGCGGGCGACACGACTCTACAGAAGCCATTTCTCGGTGTTTTCTCGAGAAAGTTGTCAGCCTGTTTTTAGGTTGTTTTTTTTTCAGCGACATATCCAGGCTGTTTGCTGCTGTGTTTTGTGGCTTGTTTTTCTCGCGAGTTGGGACGTAAAAAACGGGATTGAACTAACCAGCAGACATTTTGTCATTCCCCCCCTCAGACACACATTTTTCACCCAGCAAACTTGTTCGACCTGGTTTATTTAACAGAGTTTTTTTTGTAAATCTTTAGTTATTTTTTTGTATTGTTTTAAGGTGAACCGAGTGAGTGTGAACTGTAATTCCAAATGTCCCACGGAGCGATGTATTATTTTTGATTGACATCTTTTTTTTGGGGTGGGGGGAGTATTAGCTTAGCCTAGATGCTCGCTGGTTAGCTCTAACCACGACGTCATTCCCAAACCAAAGTCAAAATTGGAGTTTTTATTTGGGTTAGGGTGAGTGTGTTTTGGGGAGGGAGGGGGCGTCTCGCTAGCTAGCTGTGAGCTCGACGCTGGACAGCTCCACTTGGACCAGTTCTTTTTGAGGGGGGTGGGGGGGGGGGACAAAGGAAAAATATCAACACAAGGCTTTTTGGTTTTAGGGGGGAAAAGACAGCAACAAGGGACTGACATGATGTTTCCACAATCAAGACACTCAGTAAGTCATTTAATTTATTTTTGTTATGTGGTGAACCTGCTATTTGGCTTTCGAAAAATGCTCAATTTTGTTTTCACGATCATTTAAAAAACTGCCAAGCATTGTATTCACCAGGTGTAGTAATTGTGTGCGTTAAAATTCATGTTCATATTAATTTATTTGAATGTATTTTAGTATTGGAAACACGACATCTTGCGTTGCCATGGTAACAGAGACTCAGTCCATAGCGTGCACTCTACCATTGGCCAAGCATAAATCGGCAGGTACTTTGTTGGAGTTAAAAATTACACTTTGAGATCACTTCTGCTTGAAATTGGGCCCCTCGTGTTTAGCATATCTGCCTCACAGTCGAGAGGTCTCGGGTTCAAATCCCTGCATGTGCTTGTACAGGCTTCCTCCAGCACTCCCAAAACATGCATGTTTCGTTTATTGCAGACTCCATTTATTAGATCACAAAATTGTTTACAAATATTGGGGGGAAAAAATCCGAAAGCAGATGCAGAGAAATCTTGAATTAAAAATGACCGCAAAGAACGGCGATGGTGAACATGATTGTGTTCTCTGTAATGTCTTAATTTGTGGATGTCATTGATTGATCGGCAAATTATTACTTTACAACCAATCACTGATTTTGCACTAAAATGCAAAACATCTACCGATCCGATCCGTGTAAAGTCTAATCGACATAAGCCAATCACATATTTTCCACGGAAGTCGGCCGATCACGATCAGTGGCCACTCAATCGGAGTACCATTACGTTAAATGTTCGTCATGTCATCTTTTCTACTTAACAAGTTTGGACTAAACCAAAGTCAGCATATCATGCATTGTTTTACAAAATTAGTGCAAACCCACCTGTGGCTTCAAGAAGAGAAGAGGAGGCCCCACCCCCCCGCCCCTCCTCCTTGGGCAGAAAAAAAACAACATTTTGAACATCGATAATCTGATGTCCGGTGGTTTTGCTACTTTGGCTGATAAATGTTGGTTCCCAGCTCAACAGATGTAAACAAGACACACACCAAATATGCCAACTTCCGAGCTCCCCATTCGAGCTCCCCATTCTTCAAGCCTGCTCCTTTTTGGTTCGCTCTCTCCCGCTATTGGAAGCTGGCTGTGTTGTAAAACTATCGCAATGATATTGTCCCTCAATTGTTTATTTCGCCACGTGGTGTGTGTGTGTGTATATATTCTTTGATGCTGCTGTGCGTGACATCGTAAGTACATTCTCGCCACTGATTGGCTGTCGTGACTGCCGCTATTGGAAGCTTGCTGTGTTGCGTAACTCTTGGTGTCCACAGACCGCAATAATATTGTCCCACATTGTTTATTTTGCCACACGGCGTCTGTTTGTGTGTATATATGTGTTATTTAATGCTGCTGTGTGTGAGAGACATCGTAAGTAAATTCTTGACACTGATTGGCTGTCGTGCTGTGACCGGGCAAAAAGTTCACATCTTCAAATGTTAGCGAGCCCCCTCATGCTTGCATCGCACCAAACTCATCGTCCACGCCGCCCTCCACGCATTCCCGTCTCTATGTGCAAACTCTGCGAACTGCATTGACTTAATATTGTTCCGCACTGCCAGAAAGACTCAATTTGCATTTTGTTACGATTGTAGCATGAAGCACTGCGCACCTCTATGCACTGACAAAATTTTACATTGTATTACATTGAGATGATTTGAATTTGATTAATTGTTCAGCCCTAATTGTGACAATAATACAAATTGTCACTTCTACCCTAATCTTCGTGGGTGAACAAATACAGGACCAATGTAACTTTAACATGTTTTGTCACACTGTGACAAAAGCACAGACGCGAAGTACGCTAGCAATGCGAATTAAAATTTTGTGCTGTCACGATTTATCCGTTAACGGTTTCATCCCTACGTGAGAGGATCAAATGTGAAGGCCAAGCTAAAAGTCACCCATTTGACTATTTGAGCCACATAATTAAAAATGAGAGACAGGAATGAAGCGCGTCACAATAGAGTCTATTCTATATCTGCCGTTGGCCTTCAAAGCACCTGTTAGCGCCACTGTCACCCCCATATGTCGTGCTGCCGCCTCTACTGTCACGCAGCCTTGTAGATGAGCTTCATGCGTGACATTCATATAGATAAGCGTGTCAAGATAAGTCAGTCTTCCTCATACCGGCATGCACAGGCATCGTTTCATCACCTTTGTATGAAACTCTGGCATTTGGATCGGCATCTGCGGGGGGGAGGGGGCCGGGGGAAGAAATGCCTCAAAGGTCACTTGGAGGTCAAATTGAGTGAGACGGAAGCATACCACACTTGGTCTCGCTTGAGTTAAGGAGCATGAAAGGGTGAATCGTTTAGATTTTTCTTTGGCTTTTTGTGACACTTATTCCTCAAACTGGAGCTTTTCAATTTCGGGTGTGTATCAAAAAAGATGTTGTGTCATCATGTGTGGCTACACAAAATGCCAATCCCCCCCACCCCCCTCCCCTCAATGAATTAGTTTAGTAATCTGCTCTATTCGCAGGTTACGGGCACAGTTCATTGGATTAATTGTGGTGGGGATGGAAAAAGCCTCTTTGGATTCCTGACCCACTTGATAGCATTTGGCATATTGTTGGCTTTTTTTTTTTTTTTTTAACTTGATTAATCCTAATGCAGCTTCAACAAAGCTGCTTGTGGCATGCCAGTTGAGGGGGAAAAAAGTGCTAATGTTGAAGGATGGCCAGGCAAAATCCCTGCACACTAAGGTTTATACGCTGTGTACAATGGCTGTAAATGCTAAGAATACATAACGGTAAACAAAAATAAAAAATCCTGTATTTTCCACACTAAAAGGCGCACTGGATTATGAGGCACACCTTTAATGAATGGCCTATTTTGTGAATTTTTTCATACATTGGGCGCACCGCATTATAAGACGCAATCTACAATGCCTCCACTAGATGGAGCTACGCTCAAGGAAACACCAACAGAACGATCAGATGTCAGTCAAACTTATTTCATAAAGCAGCGACACAGTTCACTTAGCCAATAACATTGACTGGTTAACGTCGAACTCTCTTGCCGCTGCTCCATTTCCGTGTTCAACTGCTTAACCGATCGTCTTAAATTTGAACTGCGTTGTCAGCATGTCTCGAGCAAGGAGCCATTTTGGGGTCGCCATATTGCCGTAATGACCATACACAAGGCGCATTGGATTTTAAGGCGCACTGTGAGCTTTTAAGAAAATGGAAGGCTTTTAGGTGCGCCTTTTAGTGCGGAAAATACGGTAATTGGATACCAACATCCTGAATTTTTTTTTGATGAATGAAACGGCATCCATATCGATCTGTGTGCAAGTCCAAAGCGGCCGGTGTACGCGCAATGCGGAAATTATAGGAGACTTGAAGAAAAGGGTGACTCCGAACCACAATGTCTAATACAATGCCTGTGTTGATTTGACCATACTCGCACATGCTGCAAATGAGTTTGCAAATGCGACCAATTTAGTCACAATGCCCTCGTTCTTTGTCGCCAGTGCTGAGGTTTTGCTAGTATGAATGCTTTCAGGCTAACAATAATCACAATTGTCAAGGCTAGCGAAGCTAAACACTATATTTTTGTACTATCTGACACGCACAAAGGTATGAAGACTGTGTTGGCCGCACATCTCACCGCGCTGCTCCACAGACTATGTTTAGTGTCCGACTGGAAGACGAGATGTGGAAAACACACGATTAAAGATTAATGGACTTCAAGCTTCAAACGTTGACGGGCAGTAGTGAAGTTGACTTGTCATCTAGTCAACTAATCGGTTGGACCCCTGCCGCGCACACACGCGCGCGCCCGCACATACGCACGTACACAAACACTCAGGTCTGATGTAGCAGTGGGAGGGTCAGGGACATTATGAAGCCCACTTGAATTAACAGAGCAGCCCCCAGCCTTTACTCTAAAATCTCCGGCTGTGTGTGTGTGTTGGAGGGGGTCTTAATCCTGGTGGTCCCCTGTCTCGCTCATTAAATAACCCCCCCGCCCCAAACCCTCTCCTCCGCATTTGTGTGCCGTTTGTGTGTGCGTGCGGGCAGCCCTAGCAGTGTTTGTGTAGCCTGTGGAAAAAGAGTCTTGTTGATCATTCTTGCAAGGACACACACACACATGCACATTCTTAGCAGCCTCAAGGGTCTTATCTTCTTTTAATATGTGTGGGGAGGGGAAATTGAATGTGGGGGTGGGTTGGAAGCTTGACACACGCAGGCCAGCAGATGTCTGGGTCATTGAGGTTAGGCCAACTGATTAGCATGACAAACGTGCACCTCCCCACCCACTGCGGGGGGGCTTGCTTTTGACTAGCCAAGTTGACGACATGGGTCACAGGTGATGTTGATTTTTGTCAAGAATGGCTTGAATGGGAGGGGCGTCGCCGCTTCGGACTCAATTAGAGCTCCAACATACAAATGAATACAATTGGAAACACTCGGGGCTCCCTTTTTGTTTGTAGATAGCGCATATGCTCGAGGCGTAAATACTGGCGCAGCTTCATTTTTGTGCCGGGGCAAGTTTAGTTTACGGTGTTTGGGAATTTGGCAGACCGCACTGCACCAGACAATTTGGTGACAGAAAGTAGACTAGACCTTAGACCAGCTCAGAGCTGGTCTAAGTTGTGGTGCAGGTGGTGTAACGGGGTTTTGGTGAATTTGATTGAGGCGCAAGCAGACAAATTCTGCCCTACGTTGATGTGTGGTGGATGTCATCGGATTTCATTCATAATTTTGACAACAAGGTTGAAACCTTTGAGTCATTGCAGAAATGAATTCATTGAATGCATCATTATTATCATCATCTCTATATTGCTTTCATTGGGGACTTCAGAACTTTGCTGTTGAGAGGCTGTCATTTCCATGGATTTGTAACATTTTAAATGAAGCGATGAGCCAATGATCAAAAATGATTCTTGCCTGATTTGATAATCAGTTAGTTGTCGATTAACGGTTGCATCTCTAAAATATATCCATCTTTTGTGTGATTTAAGTCGT